ATGGTTGGAAGTAGCATGGGAAGCAGGGCTGCACCAGTCAGGGTGGAGTCTTGGCCTCCTAGGTTTAAAAGAGTCACATCTCCACCAACTCAATTCTGAAGTGTGGGGCTGCCATTCACAAGTGCCAGAAGGATGGGGCTGCTACCCAAAGTTGAGGGGGTGAGTCTGCCATGCCCAAAGGCCAGAAGAATGAGGTGAGGGCTGAGGGAGTAGGGTCAGCACTCACATAGACTTGGAGAATGGGGCTACCCAAAGCCGAGGGAGCAGAGTTGTCATCCCAGTGGGCCTGAAAGATAGAGCTGAAGCTCAGGGAAGAGAGACATCCACTCAATGCCAAAGGGCATTGCTAACACCCAGAGTCTGCAGGGCAGGGCCATGGCCTAGATGATACCACAGAGCAGAGGATTATTTTTAAACCTTGAGAGCTAAAACCTGCTGGGTTCTGGATTTACTTGGTGCCCATTATTCCTTCTCTCCCTCCAATTTCTCTTCTTTGTAATGGAAATGTCTACCTTGACCCTGTTCCAGCATTGTACTTTAGAAACAGATCATTTGTAATCTAGTTTTCACAGGTTCAAGATAAAGAGGAATTTTGCCCCAGCATGGAATATGCCTAAAGTCCCACCCACATTTGATTTAGATGATTCAGAAGATGAGAGTTTGGACTTGGAGTTGATTTAAGACTTTTATGATGATGTGATGGGGTAAATAAATATGTTTTGCATGTGGCAAGGACATGAATTTTGGGGGGCCAAAGGGTACAATATTATAGGTTGAACTATGTCCTCAAAAAATATGTCTTGTAAATGCTAATCTCGATGCTTGTAGCTATAATCCCATTTGGGAATGGGACAGGATTAGTATAGATTGTATCTCGAGTCGGTCTTCTTTGAGATATAAGAGACTAAGCAAGCAAGTGAGAGAAGCAGAGATGGGGGAAGCCACATGAATAGTGATTACCCAAGAGCAGAAGTTCAGAAGAGACAAAGACCTTCCTCCACAACCAACAGAGAAAGTCTTTCCCTAGAACTGATGCCCTGTTTTGGTTACCTCGTGCCTCTCTAACAGAAAAATAACACAAATGGGATGGCTTTAACAAACAGGAGTTCATTTTCTTACAATTTGGAGGCTACAAGTCCAAGTTCAAGGTACCAGGCTCTAGGGGCTGGGTGAAAGCCCCTCGACCTTGGGCTTCTGCTCTGCCTCCTACTCCCGGCCCACTGAAGCTGGAGGCTTCCTTCACTCGGGCAGCTGTTGGCTACTGAAGCTGACAAAACCCAAGGTCAACAACTAAAAAGGCATAGTCCCAATTTTACCAAACCACACGGCAAGCCATTGATTCAAGTCCGTTAAAAGTCCCAAGATTGGCAGAGCATGGCAGGCTACTGAATGAAGACTTGGTTACATGCAGGGTCCAAGCATGCCAAAGAGCTGTAGACCATTCCCAGAGCTTCGCCTTATATACGGGAAGCAGACCACATCCTAAAGCAACTTCTCAGCTGCTCACAGCAGACCCCACCATGGAGTTGATTGCCGGTCTCGTCATGTGGAATAATAACTACCACCAACTGCCCAACCACTCAAAACCAGGCCCAGCCAAGTTGACAAATAACTGTTACTACCACATGCCCTGAATGTGGACTTCTAGCCTCCTAAACCATGAGAAAATACATTTCTGTTTGTTAAAGCCACCTACTTGTAGCATTCCTCGAAAGGAAGGTTGGGCAATCCTACTTTCGTAGTGATACTGCCTCGGAAACCCAAGGAGGGGTCGCTATGAGTTGGGGCCGACTCGACGGCACATAACAACAACAACAACAAGAGAACTGAAACAACTATATACACTGAGATGGGAATGCTCCTTCAAAATACTGTGTTAAGTTTTTTAAAAATCAGTGTGCAAAACAGTACAAGTAGTATTTTCTCATTCACGTGAAAAATAAAGGAGATGCACTGGTGCATTTCTACATATAAACAATCTCTGGAAGGATACACAGTTACCTAAGGATGGAGGAAATTGAGAGACTGAAAATCAGGAGTGGGAGAAAGACAAAATTTTTACTCTACTCTCTTTTGCCTAAGGCTCAAACCCACCAGCCACTCATCAGAAGGAAGATTGGGCAATATACTTCCGTAGTGATACTGCCTTGGAAATCCAAGGAGGGGTCGCTCTGAGTCCGATCCGACTCGATGGAGCGAGAGAGAGAGAGAGAGATACAAAAGAGCCCTGGGACTAAGTGCTGGGCTGTTAACCAAAAAGTTGGTGGTTTGAACCTACAGACCGCTCCAAGGGTTAAGGATGTGTCACTCTGCTTCTATAAAGATTACAGCCTTGGAAACCCTATAGGGCAGTTCTACTCTGTCCTCTGGGATCACTATGAATTGGAATAGGTGGCAACAGATTTGGCTTTTTAAAAACATACATACAGTGGAATATTATTCACATAAGGAAGAAATAAAGTTCTGACACGGGCTACAACATGGATGAACTTTGAAAATATCACGTTGTGTGAAATAAGCAGTCACAAAAAAATAGTACATGATTTCACATATATGGACTATTTAGCCCAGGCAAATGCATAGAGACTAAAGTTTATTAGTGGTCACCAGGGGTGGATGGGAGGGTGAATGGGGAGGTATTGTTCAAGGGATACTGAGTTCTGTTTAGAGTGATGAAAAATACTCGGAAATGGGTATGGTGCTGGTTGCAGAACATGGCAAATGTAGTTAATATCATTGAACTGCACGTATAAAAATGGTTGAAATGAGGAATTTTCTGTTATATATATATATATATATATATATGTATATATATATTTCACCACAATAAAAGTTTTTAAAAATCTGAAGCCTGGCATCTAAGGGGCTTAGCATTCTACTGGCTATGTGACTTCAGGAAAGTACCTCTACCTCTCTGAGTTGTAGTTTTTAACATCTGTGGATTGGGATGATTAATGGCACTTACCTCACAAGTGGGGCAGTCATCAAAGAGATTGTGCATACACAGCACTTAATGGTCACAGCCAGGACTTACTGACCACCTCCTGTGCACCAAGCTGTGTGTGTCCATTGGCTCACTCTATCCTCATTACAGCCCTATGAGAATGTTACCATGATTGATTCTTATTTTTTACTTTTATCTCTTTGTAAAATCTTTTCTGCACTCAGTATACGAAACATAGATGTATGTTTTAAAAAATACTTACAGTGTGAACACTGTGAATCATCATCCAGGCTAAGAAAGATGGAAAAACAGAAACAACAAATGCTGGTGAGTGTGTGGAGAGACTTGATCGCTCATACACTGCTGGTGGGATGGAAGAATGGTGCAACCACTGTGGAAAATGGTGAAGTGCCAGCTTTAAGAGCTGGAAATAGAAAAATCCAGCGTTCTCACTACTAGGTATATATCCTGGAGAAATAAGAGCTGTGACACATACAGATATATGCACATCCATGTTCACTGCCGCACTATTCACAATAGCAAAAACATGGGAACAACCTAAATGTCCATCAACGGAAGAATGGATCAACAAACTATGGTACATACACACAATGGAATACTACACAATGTTAAAGGGCATTGATGAATCTGCAGAGCATCTCATAACATGGATGAACCTAGAGGCCATTATACCGAATGAAGTTAGTCAACCACAGAAGGACAAATATTGTATGAGACCACTATTGTAAAAAATCAAGAAAAGAGTTTCACAGAAAAGGAAATATACTTTGATGGTTACCAGGGGTTGGTGGAGAAGAGAGGGTAAACCACTAACTAGAAGTGAGACTTAGAAGGGGAAAAAAACAACCAATAATCATCAAAGCATCTTGATTGCATGTTTGGTGGAAAATAATAATTAAAAAAAAAAAAAAAAAAAACATAGAAGCCCCATATACCCCTTCTCAGGTACAACCTCTCCTCAGAGGTAACCTCTCTGACTTCTATGATAATCATTTCCTGCCTTTTCTTTTCTTTATAGTTTGACTACCTATGTATGCATTCTCAACACTTTATTGTAGTCCCATTTTCACTGCTTTTAAACCTGTTGAACAGAATCATACAGCATGTCTCTCTGGTGTCTGGCTTCTTTCACTCAATAATATGTATGTGAAGTTCATCCATGTACTTGTGTATATCAGTAGTTAATTATTTTTCATTGCTGTATAGTACCCCATTGTATGACTATTGTTGTTGTTGTTATGTGCTGTCAAGTTGGACCCAATTCATTCATAGCAACCCCTCCTTGGGTTGCCGAGGCAGTATCACTATGGAAAGAGATTGCCCCATCTTCCTTCCAAGGAGTGGCTGGTGGGTTTGAACCGCCAGCCTTCTAGTTAGCAGTCAAGTGCCTTAGGCACTATGCTACCAGAGCTCCCTGTATGACTATACTACAGTGTATTTATTCATTCTCCTGTTGATGGGAATTTGGGTGGTTCTCATTTAGGGCTATTACAGACAGTGCTGCCATATACATTCTTTTCTGTATATATTTCCTGATGTATGCCATGTGCAAGGTCTCTAGGATGTATACCTAGCATGGAACATCTGGGCTATAGGTTATGTGTGTTTTCAAATATATTCAATAACACCATAGTTTCCCATTTTACAGATGAACCAAATGAAACACAGAGGTTAAGTAGCTGCCCAAGATCATAAGGCCAAACTGCCTTGAACCCAAAGAGCCTTGTTCCAGAGCCCACACTCTCACTTAGCATCCATTGGTACATGGTGAGCACCAGATAATTATGAGCTGTTACGCTGAGGGTTTTGTTGGGGACTGTTACTAGGGGTTTCCTGTCCTGTCCTGGTTACTCTGAACTCTGGCCTCATCAGTTAATAATTAACTGCCCCCCAAAGGATGTGATCCTAAAGATTTGCCTTTCTCTGTCCACTGCCCAGTTAATCAGTCACTGCCCCCTGGCCAGGCAAGGGGCACTTGGTGACCCCCTGCCTGTAAAGCTCATTCACCTGGTGTGGAAGCGACAAGAGGTTCACGATGCTCCGGACCTGCCGAGTGCTCTATTCCCAGGCCGGTCCCTCTGCTGGGGGCTGGCAACACCTGTGCTTTGATGGAGGGGCCTTCCACCTCAAAGGCACAGGAGAACTGACAAGGGCTTTGCTGGTGCTGCGGCTGTGTGCCTGGCCTCCTCTGGTCACTCATGGGCTGACGGTGAGCAGCGGTCCCCAGGACTGGCCTGGAGACTCCCCAGCGCCCTGCTCTTAGCCTTTCCTCCCTGTCACCCCAGCTCCAGGCCTGGTCTAGACGACTCCTGGGGTCCCGCCTCTCAGGTATGCTTCTCAGAGCTTCCATCTATGGGCAGTTTGTGGCTGGTGAGACTACAGAGGAAGTGAAGGACTGTGTTCAGAAGCTTCAGCAGCTCGGCCTCCGGCCCCTACTGGCAGTGCCCATTGAGGAGGAGCCAGACTCAGCTGCCAAGACTGGGTAAGTAGGGAGCCAGGGCCCTGGGGAGCCAAGAGGATGGCATGAATGGGGTTAGTAGGCTCAGGCCTTTATGCCTGGTGGCTGGACAGTGAGGCCTGGTACGAGAGGAACTTCAGCGCCATGCTGCGGTGTGTGGACCTGTCACGAGGCCTTCTGGAGACCCCTGGCCCAGCTGGGCAAGTCCTCATGCAGCTGAAGGTGACGGCGTTGACCAGCACTTGGCTCTGTGTAAGGGAAGGCAGGATGGTGGCAGTGGGGGGTGCGGCTGCCCACCAGGCCTGCCACCACCCCACCCATTATCCTATTTCAGAAGGAGCTAACCTCATGGGTCAGAGGGCAGGGGACCTCCTTGGAACTGAGCCCTGAGAAGTTGGCAGAAGCCATGGACTCTGGGCAGGTAAGGACATCAGGCTGGGTGACAATGGATGGTTGGTTGGTGGTAGGAGAAGAGATCCTGGACTTGGATGTGGCAGGTGCCTGCAGGTATAATACTACTACTTCCCAGACTCAGAATAATCAGAATAATGTGATTACAGTGTAGGATAGGGTCCTGGAGACCCCTGAAAAGAATATGGGTCATCTAGAAATTTTAAGGAGGGGCCTGGGTGACATGATTACTCAAAGGAGATTGAGGTAGCAGCTCTTTTCCCAACCAGAAGAAAGGATATTAATTTTTATTGATCAACATAGCCATACTGATGCACACAAGCTGGACATGAGTTCTGGTTAGATCAATGTGATTGTTCATTCATTCATTCCTTTCTGTCTCTGTATCCTATGGAGCTCTGGTAGCGTAGTGCCTAAGGCACCTGACTGCTAACCAGAAGGCTGGTGATTCAAACCCACCAGCCACTCCTCAGAAGGAAGGTTGGGCAATCTACTTCCATAGTGATACTGCCTTGGAAACCCAAGGAGGGGTCACTATGATTCCAGCCCGACTCGACAGCACATAACAACAACAACAACAAAATGCCAAACATCAGCACATTGGCAGCTACTCCATCTTGTATAATGTGTATCTTTTTGCCATTGTGATTTTTTTTTTTTCCAAGTGCATACTATTGGTGGAGCATATTTTTTCCAACATTTTATTTTGAAAACTTTCAAACATGTAGACAGGTCAAGAGAATTGTAGCGTGAACACCATATACTTGCCACCTAGATTCTACTGTCAATATTTTAAGATACTCATTTAAAATAATATCTATCCATCTACCTATTCTTCTGTTCATCCGTCAATCCATCTTATTATTTTTTTTCATGCACTTCAAAGTTAAGACGTTGTACATAGTCTCCCTAAATGCTTCAGGATGTGAATCATTGATTAGAGCTCAGCAATTGTTTACAGCTCTTTTTTTTCTTTTTAAGGTAAGATACGCTGAAACATGAAAATTGTAAACGTAGCCTTTGATCAGTTTTGACAAATGCACACCTATCGATGAAGATTAGAACATTCTCATCACTGCACAAAGTTTCCCTCATGCCCCTTCTACATCAACCTGGGGGTCATAGTTTTAAATTTACACAAATAGCAGTGTGCATGTATCTCTCATTGTGTTTCTTACGTTTTTCACTGAGCACTCTGATTTTGCAATTCATCCATGTTTCTTGTGTCCATCTAATGCACCACTTCTAATTGCTGCCTCTAACGCATGGCTTAGTTTTCCAGGGATGGACACCTGGTGGCTTCTGAATCTCCACCACCCTAAAGAATGCTACAGAGGATATGCTGATGTTTCCTTTTTGATCTTTTTTTCCCTTCATTTATAGTTTTTAAAACATGACAGAACATGTAAAAGCAGGCTTTAGCCTCTCAGAGAATCAGCTTTGGAGTGTAAAGAGTTTCACCTTTTTATTAACTTTAGTTTACTCATTGCAGACAGTGATAGCAACCTCTTACCAGGGTGGTTTTAAGGATAAAGGCAGATGTGTGCGCAAAGCCCCTGGCAGAGGCTGGTATCTGACTTTGTGATGAACAAGGTCCTCTTTCCTTTCTGCATTGTTTCCTTTAGCTTCCCCAACACCAGCACACCTAGTTTTCCTTTTCCAACTTTGTCAACTCCTCCTTAATCTTTATTAGGTTTCTCTCTGCCTGTCTCTTAAATATGGAGGTTCCCCAGGGCTGGGTCCTGGACTCCTTTCCTCTTCCTCCTTACTCCCCTTGTACACACCTCACACAGCTTCTCACCTACCCCTACAGTCTCAATTTCCCAGTTCTGCCCTAATGCTGCCAATGTTTCTGTCCACAGTTCCCAGGCCTAGCCTTTCCCTGGAGCCCCAGGACCTTCACACTGGCCTCAGTATCTCCACAAACCTGCTCCTCCTTCCTGTCCTCATCTCCGAGACAGCTCTTACCATCCCCATTCTCAGATCAGAGCCCTGCTCCTCACATCCTTGGGCTAACACCCACTGATTCCACAGCACGATACATATCCCCAGTTCACTACCATACCCCAGCCCGTGGCACCCTGACAAGGTCTGACCAATATACATGAGCGAAGAAATGAATTTAAAAAAATAAATTAACAATACAGAACATATTGATCATACACAATATGCCAGGCACTAGCCTAAGTGCTTCACGTGTTAGAGAGAAACATTTACTCTCTGCCCTTGACGGACGGTTAAGAATCCAGGTTTTGCATAGTCGCAGAGGACATCAAGCTCAATTGGCATAACATACTACACAAAACATTGTTCTACCTCTTACTTTGGCGAGTAGCAACTGGGATCTTAAAAGCTTGCAAGTAGCCATCTAGATGCAATGATGGGTCTCTCCTCACCCAGAGCAAAGAAGAATGAAGAAAACAAAAAAATTCATGGAAACAATTAGTCCTAGCAACTGGTACACCATGCAATCCACAGCCTATATGACTATGAGACCAGAAGAACTAGATGGTGCCCAGCTACCACTGTCA